AACAAAACAGTCGATGTGATTTTAGTGTAATAACAATACGCCGTTGTATTTAAGAGGAACATAATAAAATATTATATTTTATTTGTTTATAAGAGAGCGACGTTACTTACATTTGTACCTTGCGTTGTTTTTTTACTTAAAAACAAAGAGAGCTAATTATTACGAGTTGAATAAAACAAACCGTGCTGCAAGGCCATCGCCATTTGGTGATTAGCATTTCGCCAGTTGCTAATAATATATACGGCTTTTCTCCAAATGTAAATAATTACAATCTCCCTTGACAAATGATCGGGTACGGACAATTAAAACGACGTTTGAAATATCAACAAAATTCGATCATATTATTATCGAACATCTTTGTTTTCCGTGCGCAGCAACTTAAAGTTTCGAAGAATAGGCAGTAGGAAAAAATAAATAAATCCCGAGGGATGATTACTAGAAAATATGGCACCACAAGTTTTTACAATCATCGTTTTGGCAGGGTATCCGAGTGCGAATTATGAGCTGCTGCAGGTTTTGTTCCGGGTGTTCGAGACCGATTGAACAATTTTCCGGACGGTCATGAGATGATTTAATAAATTCGCGATTTCCTCTCGATCTGATCTCGCTGCCGTCCACCCTCCTCCCACCCTCACACACACACACACAAACACTATTCCTACCATATTATGTCTTCGGCACGTCTAGACGCGAGTCGGCCGGTCACTGATGGGCCGGCTAAAACCCATACGACCCTATAGAGTATTTAGGTCGTCCGAGCGTGCACATATTTTCCTCCTGGTTGACGTAGTTTCAGCAGACCACGTTTTTTATTTTAATATAATTTATGTAGGTACTTTTTAAAATATTTATCGGGATAAAATATAATATTCTACTCGGCCGTCATCTCGTCGTTCGCCGAGACCCTCTGGCGCAGCTGTTCACCGTCCCCCCCCCCTAGATCTATCACCCGTCAATCGTCGCAGAAATACCATCGTTACCCGAGAGAAACAACTATGTACGGCGGCTGTTCTCCGCTGTCAAGCCCACAAAAAAGCCGACCGTCGAGCGAATAAAAAGCAACGGCTCTTCAACGCAAACGTCCAATTAAAAATAAAAAAAAAAACATTGCGTTGGAGGAACGTTATATAATATTTTCTTTTGTCGGCTGCATATAAAGGGGAATTTAGGTTAAAATAATATATGTACCTATTTCGGTATACAATACAATAGTATACTAATATTATTATCATTAATTAATCATGTTTACGTCGATGTATAAAATAATTAGTGTGTATTGCTTTCGACAACAAACGTATACGAAATTAATAATACCGGCTCCATTATAGGTATTCATTATAATTTATTTTTAGTCGTAACAGTATTGATGAAAACTACAGCTTTGTTTTTGGTATACGTTCTATAGCGCGGCTGTTTATTTATGTCAAACTATGTAAGTCGTTATTACCATTGTTATTATTATTATTATTGTGTATTTGTGTGATTTAAGTAATACCATGCCATTCCGGTACAAAATAATAATATACCAATTAACATTCTTTTTAAACGACCCTGAACGGCCCGAACCACTTTATTGAATATGCTTTCCGGGCAGTTTTTTTAAATACGTGATAAAAACCACATTTTTTGAATAATTTTGAAATTTAAAAGCTCTTCCGTCCATTCTCGTTGAAAACGTACTGCTGTTGTTTATAGGATGTCTTTTTTTGTATCTTCATATACCGCTCAATGATTTTAGCAACATCAGTATTATTTTGAACGAGATTTAGGATCCCCCCCCACAAGCACATTATATTATTATTATTATTACTATGCTTAGCGAAGCAAGCTTTTAGAATATACCTACACATACCTATATAGTAATATGTACTTGTCACTTGCGTGTGTCTCCGTCGCGTGCATGCGAAATTAAAATTGCAATTTAATAACAAGCTCGTGCACAATACCGTGGTTGCTGCGCTACTGATACTTGCACTCTGATGACGCTCGTAACTTAAGTGCTCGCGATAATTAGTGCTATGGATACACAGAGTAATATTACTCTATGGTCTGTATGGATATGACGATAAACATTGTCTTTATACTTGCGTGATATCACATTATAGATTTTCCATCCTGTGGAAACTGTCTGAGAGGAAAATCAGAGTAGCATTGATACTGTCAGCCATTTTCAGTTGTCCTATCCAAACATTATTCTCTACGAACCGTACCTAATAATTTTTTATATCATAATATAATTTTAATCGTATACGAAGCATCGTAAGTATTGTCATTGATTATAAATATTACAGTATAGTATAGTACCTATTAATTGATCTTAAATGTTACAATCAATGGTATTATATAGAGGTATAGTTACATCTATATATTCTCAGTTAAATAAATAACTGTATTTATTAACTGCCATTAACTGTGTTATTGATTCAATCGATTTTTTTCTCGAAAATTATATTTTTATAATACGTTAAAGTATGAGAGCGTCGCAATTTTTTCATCATCAAATTGGTTTAACATTTTTATGAGACATTTGCATTTAAAGAATTTAATAAAAAGTAAAAGCCCTTGACTTTTTTAAGTTTTTAAAAAAATTTATTCAAATACAAATAAAGACTACTCTATTTTATTATCGTAATGATGAAGCACAGCAAGATTTACAAAATTCAATTTACTGCGCTCATGATTGCTATTATATTACAGTTACACAATAGATGACGTATATTTATAAAGGCATCATTGTGTTTAGAATAATCGCCGCTTCACGTCTTGCCACGGGGCTAATCTCTCCTGATAGTGTAACATCAACGTTGGCACAAAGTCTTCGATGGAGTTTTCGGATTTCAGAGTGACGCCATTTTGTGACAAATTCAAGTTTGTTTTCAATGTTTTGCCTAAATACTTCACTTTGTAGGTCCATATTTTTGGATTGTACACCGAATAACGTTCCATTATCCGGCGAACGGTGTCCTCCGAACATATCTAAATCGTAGTATAGTGCGACGGGTATAATTTATTATGGCCGACATAAACGGTGTATATTTTTATCTTGTATGTTATTTGGAAATCGCCCACCCGCGTACAACGTGTCAATTTGCAGTCGAATTTCGTATAAATGAAAAATAAATCTGCTCTTTCGGCTTATGGATGTGCAATTATTACATTATTATAATACATAGGTAATATCAATAAAAAATTAGAATATTAATTGCTATATGCGATTTGAAATGTACAAACGGCTGCTGTCCGTACCGTTTTCGTATAATAATTTCGAGTTGAAAAATAAATAAAATAATCTACAGTGTAATCGGAGATCGCATCGACTCGTCTACCGCCCTATATCCGTACCTTTATCGTCACACTCCGTTTAATGAGTGGATTAGTCACTCGGACGTTGATGGGTTTGACCGTCTCCACGCCAACGTTGTACTTTTCGTCCGCCCACCACGGCGTCGTTATCATTTCTGGCTCCCAGTTCAAGTCCGGTTCGAATTTCGGCTGGTGGGGAATCCTAAACGGCAGCATAGACACGCGGGCGCCGGTTTCGGGGTGCAGATGCGTTTTCAGCTACAATATCGAAATGGCCATAAATGAAAGCGATTGTGAGGGTTTTTTAGGAGTAGAATATTATCATAACATTACTAATTAGTATAAAAAATCTTTCTTTTTTTTATGAAGTACACAGGAAATTCGCAAACAATATAACTCGGCCGTATATAAATGTATGCAGACGTCGATTTATGTAAATAAACATTACTCGAGGTTATGTTAGTATGAAAAGGAGATTGACTTAAATAATTATGCACCTATAAATAGGTATGGTTGAGAGGAAATTTAAGTAAATCAACCGAATCGCAGCAATTAATATTAAAATCAAATAATATGATTGTGGATAAATTAAATTGAGCATTATATCATTTAATACTTATAGTATATTATATACTATTAAAGTAAGTTTTGTAGAAAACAATTGTTCAATAATAATATTATTGTCTCTCTTAGGTATTAGATAGGTACTGTTTTGATTTTATAGTTGATAAAAAAAACAACAGTTATTAGTATGTTGAAGTACAGAATGTATGTATGCTTAGAGGTATGATATACTGGTGTAATTATATACATCATTGTCGATTAATTTATGCTTTAGCGATGAGTAGGCATCTATTAAAGAACAGGGAGACTAACTACGTTTACCAATATAGAGATCGAATTTTCGTTAAATATTAGACTAACGAGAGTCCAAGCCTATTAGTTTTGATTATGATTTGTTTTAAAATGTCGTTGTTGTTTTTGACAACATATTGTTACAAAATTATTGTAGACTTGTTGCCGTGCTCACGATAATTTCGCCTAGTCCATTCTTTTCGAACCAGTACGATACGTCGTTTCCGGCTTCCCGGAGTATCGGTTTCACGAGATCCGCGTCGTGTCCGAACTCCTCGATCAGTCCGGAAACGTTTTTCACCAACCCGTGTATTGTCATCCAACAGTCATCGCGTGTCTTGTGGCTCCCTACTTCTTCCGGCAGGAAATACTTATTGCGCCACGCCATGGTTATAATAACATAAATATGAGCACGTCCGTATAGGTATAATATATAAAACGTCGTCGTTTATACTATAAGAAAATTATAAGCTAATGGGGTGATGTGTAATAATGTCAACATCCTAAATTTTGAATTTAAACCGTTCATGTTTTGTTGATTTCAAATAACCAAATAATATTGTTATTATTATTATTTATACTACGAGCCAGTAGTTGACGTTTTCTTCAATAAGATGACGAGCTTATTGGCATATTGTTATAGTATTATTTATAATTGCCGTTGTTTTTCGTCCTGGAAAACTATTGTTTGAACTGTTGGCCGATGTATCAAATCGTTATCGTCTTAATAATAATAATAATAATAAAAACATTTTAATATTACCCGCGTATTTAATTCTCATTCTTACTACTTTTTTTTTTTTTTTGTTACAGTGTCCGATTTCACGCAAGAGTTGTCCCAAATGTACGAACAACACGCAGCCGAGCTACAACTACTAGTCACGAATTTCCGAAAGAAAAACACCGATCTCAGGAAGGACAGGTATTCCCCCCATATATATATTATATACAAAGTATTATAATACACCTACACCTATTACAAAAGTCGCTGAACGAAAAGCAAATAGACTTTGAGAGAGTATCGGACGGGGAAGAAGATTTTCTTTTTGTCAAGCGAGGAGAGGTGTAAAAGTCGGGTTACTGGCTGGAAATAACCTATAGTTAAAACGCAGAAAACTCGTTTACGGTTTCTCGTTTCACTCTTGAAAAACGAGTAATTTAATATTTTTACACGCCCGAAAATAACTACTGCAGGCCTCCCGTGAAATATGAAACGCCCTATTTTTATTCTTCAGTCGGAAAAGAGGAGAAACATTCCTTCGTAATTTAAGGAAAATTAGTATTAGTTTTAATACCGCCGTTTTTATTATTCTCAGGCCCTCATTCCCTAGCCAATTATTCTACACGTGGGAAACGTTCCTGCAAGAGGTGGAAACGGACTCGAAGTCAATCAGTGACGTAGCCAGTGTACTCGGTCGACAAATTTCTAGGCCGCTTTTAGATAGGTCGTTCTATCGAAAAGTACAATCACGTAAAGTATTCAGCCAAAGAGACTCGTTGGAATTGATCTTGCAAAAGTCTGAGGATAAACTATCAAAGGTAAATGATTGAACTACATATAGTAGTATTATTAAAAATGTTTATTTAAAATCAATATTACAATTATTTTACTTAATTTAAAGCACTTCCAAGTGCCTCTTTACTCTGTTATTTTTGCTTTTGATTCGCATAAAAATAACAATTATTGATTTGTTTCAAGTTGTGAAATACTTACTAATGACTCCAACTTGGATATAGTTTGGTACGGATTTAAATAAATATTTTTTAATACTACGTATATATTGAAAGTAAACAAATTTGTTTCGGACAAAATATCATAATTATTTTCTTTTGCATATTATTTTATTATGTTAAATATAACAAATATGGGAGTGGGTTCTTAAGTTTATAAATCGAAAAATCGATAACACCTATAGCATAACGCAAAGGAACCTCACGTGATGTTAAAACGCCCCAACTTAAACGAATGAGACTTTTATTTTATTTTTAAAAATTGGTTCGTTCCAAAATTCAAAGGTGGGGTGTGGTTGTTTCAGTTACACCCTACCTTGAAAAAATCATTAAAAATCAGGGATCGCAGCACAAACGCCCCAAAGCTGGGTGAAATCCATTATAAACATGGTACGAATAAAATGCTCCTAGTTTAATTAAAAAATGTCTATTGTTTGAAGGGGGGGGGGGTGCCGGGGAAACACATCTTTTATTTTTAACTCCCCAAACAAAAATATTATTATTACACGTACAACACTATATCGTATTATGATTGTTGATCCACAGTGCAGAGAAGATTACAAACGTTCTTTCCTTGCCCAGCTGTCATCTCCAAACAGCTCAGCATCCCTATCTTCGTACCTCGACGCCCACAATGCCTACGTCACTCAACTGCATGCCACCAACGGGATGGTCGACCAGTACAACCAATATGTACTACCACAACTCTTACAGGTAACGGTCGGTTCGGACCATACCGCCATATAATATTTTATAATATACCATGGACAACGTATGACCATAATATAATAATTGAATATACCCACACGATTTGTAATTCCGGTTTTACCCGTATGTGCAGGAATTAGAAGACGTTTACTCCGACTTGTGTATGTCCCTGTCGGACGCGGTTCTCCAAGGATCCGATGTCATATACAACAAGGTACCAAAGAATAATATAAGTAATACTACTCTTCCATAGTCATAATATATAATCCACCCTAAACTAACACCCGACCGCTCAGTGACGATTTATTAATTCATGTCGATCTGTCGTTGTGCACAGTCCAGCGATCAGTCGAAGAGATACAACGCTCTGGGATCCCAATGTCGACAGCTGACACCTGGTTCGGATTTGGTTGCTTTCGCTCGATCCCTAACACCACTGCCCACCACGCCGCACCCGTCGCAGCGGACCCGAAGCTATTGTCCGCCACAAGCTCCGGCGGACACCGAGGGAATGCTCTTGGAACCCGGGGTCACGGTAAGTCGACCGTCGTCGATATTTTAATATCTAACTGCGGGATTGTCAAGGTTTTATTGTCACGTGTTTTTTTTAAAATTTTTTTTAGGAGGCCATAGCACAGCTGGCGTTAAAAAACGAACTGATTGTCGACAGACTGGCCAGCTTGGACGTGCGAGCAGGATACGACACTATACGAGCGGAATTGATGGACCTCGAGTCTCAGATGAAACAGATACAAGATTCGGTGGAAACGTTTAAGCGCTTACAACAAAGGTTTATTATACTGGCATAGAAATACATGATTATATAGGTTGTAGGTGGCGAAATTAAAATACCGGTGAACAATAAGTTAACAGTCACGCGTATGGGTACCTATACTAAATACTGACAATTTACTATACCGAGTGAAAACACAATTTAAAATGATTAAAAAAAAAATTAGGACCGTGCGTTATTATTATCAAACACATATATAGTATTTATAAATTAATAAACGCTCTTACAGCGAGCGCACACTCATAAATGTATTCGGGAAATTATACAAAAATAAAAAAACACTTTTATATCCACACACATTATATTAATATTATCATGGGCACTTAAAAATATTTAATTTAATGTGAAATAATACTTGAACATTTCCTAACTTTAAGAGGCAGAACTTGAAGTGACATAATATTATTTTAACTCACTAAATAAAGTAAATTATACAATACGAAACTCCAGCTGCCACGTAACAATACGTCGGGGGCGAAAATGTTGTCATCAGTGTCTTAGACACAAACGCCATCCCTAACTTGAGCTAAACTTATTTAAACTGCTGGACTGTTGGGTTTGAAAGTTAAACTAGAACTCTTATGCAACTCGCACACTTCTCGAGTCCTTCGCACAATATTTGATTATTAGATAGACTCCCTCCAACAACGTTTCACAAATTAAAGTTATGTATTTTTTAAGAACTTGCCATAAATCCTGTTACAATTGTAATATCCTATTAAACTCGTAATACAAATAACACACATCAGTTATATTTATCGAGTGTACATACATTTATCAAAGTATCAATGTTGTTGTTGCAGCTCTATTCTAGCAATAAAGCAATTCCCTGAAAAAGTCTATGTCACCAAAATTTGAATATTTTTTCGCCGACTGATTTATGAAAATAGATAAAATAAACACAAAAAACCATTTATGTTATCACCTGTCGCATGAAAGGTGAGGAGATAGCACCGACTTGAGTCAGAAAAAAAAAACACTAAACTCGATAATTTCGTATTTACTTTTATTAAAATATAATATTTTTCATTTTTTCAGTATATACATATCGCCTCTATTTACCTATACCAATAATTTTCCCGCCTAGTATAAAATATTTTCACACTCCGTACATAAAATGTACACAACAAACGATGATGGTAGTTATTGGGAAAATACGACTTTAAAAAAAACAAGACAGTTTACTGAAGCTAAAAAATGTTTTCCTGATACTAAATTTTTAAATATGTTCATTAAAAATTCATTACACTAGTTCAATTTCGCTGAGCTTCAGACATTTCAATTCCATCCTACGCCTTTTGTTTTTAGAAGCAATTAAAGTTTAAATAATATATGGTGTAGGTATATACATACAAACAGATTGGCCGTGCTCAAACGTATATCCCACGCAATCTCCTAATCTTTGGCGGGGACCTCTTAAATGACTTAAATTTTATAAGGTATATAGCTGTGTACTAATTTAATTGATGGTAGACGTTTAAACTCGGGGTCTCGAATAAACTCGCTTGAATTTATGTTTGAAAATCGATTAAAACCAAAATAACGTACAAGCAGGGTATACTGAAACATATATATAAAAGTCGTAATAATTTAAATTTACAACTTACAACGTTTAATATTTCAACTCTAGAAATGAAATGATGTTTTATTAATTTTTTTTTCCTTTTGTTTGACTGTTCTCTGTTTACCTTTGATAAATTCGTCACATTCCACAAAGTCAAAGTAACACTTAAATCATTTTTTAATCGACTCTGTCCATGTATAATGTATATACAAGCGCGTAGCAGATAATTATGGTATAGTTAAAAATGCCAATTATTGCCTTATATGTTAGCGTTCACTTATCTAATCGTTACTACTCTGAGTATTTACTATTTACTGAGATAATGATAGACCGATTTAATTCGCACTGTGAGAAAATTACTGAAGTAGGTAGCTAAAATATACTAATTATTTTGAGACTATCGATTTTAACACTATATAGCTGGTGATCATACTCGATAGACATGTATATGCAATCCTATTGACTCTACACTATAGTGCAGATAGTGGCATGACGAACTTGAAATTTTTCCTAATCCAATATTACACCCACCCTGCAGAACCAACAACCCAATAAAGGCATTCGTTGTCGTATAAATTGTAACTACCAATCCTTTCGTAGTATTTATTACTAAAACACTATAGTCAATACTAAATTATCGCCAATTGGCCATCCACCACCCCTTGAAAAATTCGGAAGCGACCGCCTCTCGATTATCTCCATCGCCAAACTACTTAGTGCAGAACGTGGCTTTGCGCGATTTGAAATAATACAAAAAGTATTTCACGTTCAATCACATATTTTACGATTCAGACACCATAAAAAAAAGCACATTGTCCAAAGCGTATAACTTTGAACGTAAAAAATAATTCTTATTGTGTGACACTTAAAATACCATTTTTTTAGTTTCTATTTCGATGAAATTCACTCTGATGGTATGCAAATATTATGAAAAAACATAAACACGTATAGTCGTTATAGGTATAACTGTTGCCCGTTTACAACCACTGCACACTAAAGCGAGGGCAAACATATTATAAGTACGCAGTTTCAACTTTTAGTGATAAGTTTAGCGTTCAGTTTAATTGCATATAGATAAGCTGCGTAGGCGCGAAATCCCTTATCAAGTCTTCTTTATAGTTTCGTCACTATAACATTTAGAACGTATTTTTTTTTCTACTCAGGCGATATTACAGTGAGTTGTCGCCGAATCAAATTGCAATAATTATGTTAAGCTCAGTGATCCGATTTGTTTTTTCCGCGAGATAATCGAATAATAATTCCATCTGGCGACCTACATTTGGCATAACATGAACAGAGCTATCTGTCTTGGGTATGGGGTTGTGTCGATTACGTGACGAGGCTAATTTTTGTCAAAACTCGAAGGAGGGTGTGTTGTGACGGGTCAGTGGATGTGTAAGACATGTGTAGTGCGACAAGGAAAACGGTGTCGAAATTCCCGAGGACGTTCGCTCCAATACCGAACGATATTTATGTATACTACTCGTAATAATATCGTCGAAAAAATTACCTTTAAAATAATAATTGTGGGGCCGATAATAATATAGGTTATCGTGTAACACATCATTTATTATTATTATTATTTTCATTATATTTTTGTTGTATTTATATTAATTATTTTTATACTCGACAAACGAACCAGAATTCTGTCAAAATACGTCATGTTCATATTATTATTATTATTATTGTTATCATTATGGTTATTAGTTCGTACTCGGTCGACGTCAGACTATGCGGCGAGAAACGACATATTATCAGACGACGACGATCTTCCGGATACATCACACGCGGGACGCGTTTTATCGTACGGAAACTGCAACAAACGGATACGAAAAAGCATCGTTTCCTACACCGCGAGCTCGCACAACCAACGCCAACCCGAATATTAAAAATTTATCGTCGTCGTCGTCGTCTCTGCGCGCGCGATTCGACGGAAAAAACAAATTGGACGCTACGATTTAATTTTTTTTTTTTTTTTCTATTTAGTCATTATATATTATATTGTATTATATTGTTACGATTATTTATATTCCATAGAAAAGTCGTTATCTTTTTGTAACATTATTTTTTTTCGTAAACAGCAGTGCGAACAAAAAACCAAGCTGCAAACCCTATTGTTTCATTTTTTGCCTCCCTCCATCCCTTCTTCCCCCCTCTCTCTCTTCTCTCTATCTCTCCCCCTCACACACTCTCACTGACGGATATGTATCTTCATTTATCATTCGTGTCGTACAATGCGATTTTATTATTATTACAAATAATATTATGATATATTATATAAAAACACGCGTAGAGACTACCACAGGGGGAGATACGACGAGGGCGATTTAGACACCTTCTATATCCGGTTTAATAGTTTGCGATTTTTATTAAACGAATGCAATTCGTTTAGCGGACGATAATTAATCGAAATCGAACACCTTCAACCGCGTCGCGATATACATCATATTATTCCGGTCAATCAGTCCCGTTCAGCGTTTATTAATCGATCTTTGCACTCGCGAGTACGCTGTATACAGGCAGTAGGTGTGTAAATCAAACGAACCGAATTCGTACAAATATCCCATAAATCATAATATATTATTATATCGTTTCATTCGTCGTTTCTATCAAGATCTGCTAGCTCTTTCTAACTACTTGGTCGCTCGGTAATTGTCCACCGTGACGCAAAATCGACGGTTTTAACAGCTAATAAATAGGGCTGGGATTTTAATGCCCTAAAAAATCCCAAAAAATGTCCTAAAAAAAATGCTTTTATGACCTAAAAACTCTAAATAATGCCCTAAAAACCCCCGAAAAATACCCTAAAAAAAAATGCTTTTATGATCTAAACAATTTTTTTTTAAAATAATTTTAGTTTAAATTACAATAAAAAGTTTAAAAAAAAATGCATTACAAAAATCTATTACAAGTGTTAGCTATCAATACATAGTTGTAGTATAAATCTAAAAAAAAAGTTAATCTGTTATATTTATTTAAAAACCATGTTGGTGTAAAAATCTTAAAATAAAATTTCAGATTCATACTTGGTTTTCAAAAACTCAAAGAATGCTCCAAAAACTCTAAAATGCCCTAAAAAATTAAGAAAATGACCTAAAAACTAAAAAATCCCAAAAAATTCAAAATAAACTTTCTTATTCTCATTCAAATGTACATAAAACAAATTTGTGACAAGACGAGCATTGCACAGTAAGCTTAGGAAAACAATGCAAAGTGCATCGAAATCCCAGCCCTACTAATGAATAATAATACATTATAATGTTATAGTCATATCGATCCATCATCCTCTGATAATGATTCCGGTAAAATAATACGTTGACGCTTTAAAAATATTATTTGACATTAAAATTGTTTCGCGTTTGAATAATATTATTATTAGTACCTATACATAACTGGATAAAAAATTGTTACCATCTTATTTTTGTCTATAATATTTATTGGTGCATATTAAT